AATGTCCAGGCTCAGACATGGAAGAGAAGACACAGGCAGTGCCCCCTTCCCCAACCACAATAGAGTGGGAGGAGGCCATGGCTGTAGAATAACTATGCCATCACGCTTGACCCCAGCTAGCAGAATTCAGAAATTATCACAGTTATTAGCTCTGGAAGTACTCCTAGGAGACCAGCTGGCCACATTGACTCATTGTAAGAGGCCCAAAGGTTGACGTGATTTGTGTAAAACTATACAGTTAGTTAAGGGTAGCTGGGTGGCACAATGGATAAAGCACTGGGCCTGGAGTCAGGAAGACTTGAGTTTAAATCTCTTCTCAGTCACTTTGTAGTTTTGTGACCCTGGGCAAGTCACTTTACCTGGTTTGCCTCAGTTTCCTCATCTGTAAAATGAGCTAGAGAAAGAAATGGCAAACCACTCCAGTATCTTTGCCAAGAAAACCCCAAAGCAGGTCACAAAGAATTGGACACAACTAAAAACTACTACACAATAACAACACACAGGTAGTAACTTAATGGTGGAGCTGGGACTAAAACCCAGGTTCTACACTCATAATCTAGTCCCCCGTGGACTACATCAATCCTTAGCAGAGGAGCTGGAATATGGAAATATGCATTTATCAGGTAGTGAGGGTGGCGGATAGAGAGCTAAATTCAGGGTTTAGAAAGTGATCTGGATTCAAATCCCACCCCCTGACACTAGCTACATGATCCTGGGCAAGTCAATTAATCTCTCTGCCTCAGTGTCCTTTTTTCTAAAATGCAGACTATAATGCCTGAGGTACCCAGGGGATACTTGTTGTAAGGTTTAAATGAGATCACACAGCCCAGGACAGAAGGAGGCTAGGTTCTGAATCAGAAGAATGGGCTAAGATCACTTACTAGCAATAAGATCTTGGGCTGGTCATTTCTCCTCTATAGTCGAATTTTCCTGTCTTGCAAAATGGAAGAGGGAAGGTGGATTAAAGGTCCTCCGAGACCACTTTCAATTCTAACTAAATGACCCTGAGATATATACACGTGTATGTATTTTATGTGTCTATATACACTATATGCATTATATAATACACACACAAACAAACCAGGCTTTGCAAACTTTAAAGGACGTAATGAATGCCAGCAGGTAATCACACAAGGACTAGGAGTGGCCTGGGTGGTGCAAGCACAGGCCATGTTGCCTATTCCGCACTGTGTGAAGTCTTGTGGTAACTTCTCTTATTTTCATAAACTTCTTCTGATACAATGTAGCACTGTAGAAAGTAGGTGCCCACTGTGTTCTCCACAGAAAGATTTCCGGGTGGGGCAAGGCTTCCTCCTCTCCATGCAGCTGCCAAATTGATGTTCCTAAAACACAGCTCTAACCATGTAACTCCTCTAAATCCCCAGTGGCTCCCTACTGTCTCAAAAATGTCATTTCATTGGTATAGGGTACTTCCAGGTGATAAAACTGGAGTTGCCAAAGCAGATCAGCTCCTCCTCTGTGACTTCCATCTGTAGAGAGCTACTTAGAGTCAGATGACTTATCCAAGGTCACAGCTAGTCAGAGGCAGGACTCAAAAGTCTTCCCCAGCTCCCCATCTACTAAGCCATTATCACCTCTAGGAGAGACAACAAAAACCCTCTTTGTATGGATCTTGCATGGACTTATACCTATGATAATATTTAACAGGGCAGCTAGGCAGCACAGTGGATAGAATGCTGGATTTGGAGTCAGAAAGATCTGAGTTCAAATCCTACCTCAGACACTAGCTGTGTAACCCTGGGCAAGTCACTTAACCTCGGTCTGCCTCAGTTTCCTCACCAGTAAAATGGGCATAATAATAGCACCTATTTCACAGGGTTGTTGTGAGGATCAAATGAGTTAACATTTTAGTGCTTTGCAAACTTTATAATAATATACAAATTCTAGCTTTTGATATTATTTTATGTGTATGCACAGACTACATTCCATATTAGAATATAGCTCCTTGAGGGCAGGGGTTGTTTTTTTTTTTTATTTCTTACATTCCCAGCACTTAGCACACTGTCTTGGAATACAGTAAGGTCTTAATAAAACATATACTGACTAACACCCTCCCCAATCTGGCTCCTACCCACCTTCCCAAATATTTTGCATTACTCCCCCTTTATGTCCCATTGGTATGTCCCATTGGTGTGCCCCTCGAGGAGCCCGGTGGAAAGTGTTCTTATTTGTAAGTCAAAGGAGCTGGATTTGAAAACAGATTTTCCTACTTAATACCCTGGCCTCCTGGCTGTTCCAGGAACAAAACAACCCATCTCTCCCATCCAAGTATTCTGCCTGGTTGTCATCCCACACCTGGAATTCCCCTCCCTCCTCCAATGGACAACCCCTCTTTGTACCTTTCTCCTGCTTCCTTCAAGACCCAACTAAAACCCCACCTTCTCCAGGAAGCCTTCCCCACCCTTAACTCTAGTCCTTTCCCCCTGTTAATTATTTCCAATGTATCACGTATAGTGCTTTTTTCAGTAGACGTTTGTTTACTGGCTATCTCCCCCATTAGATTGTAAACACAGACCATCTTTTTCCATCTCCAGCGCTTAAGCACAGGGCCTGGCACACAGTTGATGCTCAGTAAATGTTTACTGATCAACAATAAGCAAGTCACAACCTCATTCTGTTCCTTATTTGTAAAAGGAGGCACTTTTTTTTTTCTTAAACTGAACTCATGATTTCCTTGTTATAGGGAAGTTCAGGTAAGAAAACTTCCTATCACAAAACAGATCTGCACCTGTTTTCAATTTATAGTCAGAGTTGCCAAGGGCACTGAGAGATTAGGTGCTTTGCCCAGGAGGGTGTGTCCAGTCTTGCTCTGAGACAAGACTAGAAGCCAGGTCTTTCTGACCCCAGGCCAGTCTCATCCCTGCAAAATGCAGGTTGAATAGAGTTGTCAAATTCAGGGCCCTCACCTAAGAGGCACCAGACACCTCCATTACAGGACTTTCCCAGAGCATCTCTCTCTTTTTTTTTTGAGATTTTTTAAAATTAATTTATTTTGCTTTATCAACAATCACTTCCATAAGCTTTTGAGTTTAAAATTTTTCTCCCCCTCCCTCCTCACCTCCCTCCCCAAGAGGGCAAGCAATCTGATATAGGCTATACATATACATTCCTATTAAACATATTTTCACATTAGTGATGTTGTAAGGAAGAATTAGAACCAATAGGAGGAACCACCAGAAAGAGGAAACAAAACACAACAGAAGGAAAAAAAGAGCAAATAGTATGCTTCGATCTGCATTCAAACTCCACAGTTCTTTCTTTGGATGTGGATAGCATTTTTCATCACGAGGCCTTTGGAGATGTCTTAAATCCTTGTATTGCTGAGAAGGGCTCAGTCTATCAAAGTCAGTCATCACTCAATATATGACTGTTACTGTGTACAACGTTCTCTTGGTTCTGCTCACTTCACTCAGCATCAGACCATACAAGTCTTTCCAGGTTTTTCTGACGTCTGCCTGCTCATCATTTCTTATAGCACAATAGTATTCCATCACATTCATATACCACAACTTGCTCAGCCATTCCCCAATTGATGGGCATCCTCTTAATTTCCAATTCTTTGCCACCACAAAAAGAGTTGCTAGAAATATTTTTGTACATGTGGGTCCTTTTCCCATTTGTATGATCTCTTCAGTATAAGCCCTAGAAGTGCTATTGCTGGGTCAAAGCCCAGAGCATCTCTTAACCGAAGGGGCTACAGTAACTTGAACCAGAAGCATATGCAATCCAGCTTTTCCCATTAAACCAGATAGGAAAACCGCTTGGCATCTTTGAGAGGGCTGCCTGGGGCACTGAAAGTTTCCGGGGGTTAATAGCACAGTCATGTTTACCTAGCAAAGGTTACCAGGCACTCTCTGCTCAACCCTATAGGCTGTAATCGAGTGTTACCTGCCTTCATTTCAGAGATAAAGAAAATCGATCCTTAGAGAAGAAATAAGTCATTTGCCCGGACACATCCACTTAGTGGCCTCAGACGTGATTCCAAGTCTTCTGACACAAAGCCCAGCACCTCCTTCCCCACAGGAAAGTGACCCTACCCTAGACACACCGTCGCCCGGGGCACAGGTGCTCAGCAAAGATTTCTTACCTCGCGATTATCTCTGTCCCGGATTCCCGGCCACCTCCCTTTCCTGAATCAATCATCTCTAGAGCTTTAGCTTTATAGCTGGAAGGGACCTCCTTACGGGTCCAGTCCAACTCTCTCGTTTCATAGATGAGGAAACTTAGACCTGAAACCGGGACAAGTGGAGGACTAGTCCACGAAGTGACTCCGGGTTACGCCACTGCAAATCCAACAAGCACCACACTTAATCAGTTTGTTGCTAATGAATGGAATCCTATTTAAGTTGCCCTGGGGACCAGAAGCGCCGGACCCGAAGGCAAAGAAGGGCTGGGGTGCCCATCACTGCAGGGGGAACCCAAATCCAAGTCAGGGGAACAAGTACGAAGAGATCGATCAGCGCAGCCGGGCACCTTCCCGGAGCGACCGGGCAGGCTCCGCACTGGCATCCGACACTCCCTCCCTCCAGGTACATTCTGGGCTCCAGCGGAATTGCCAGCTACTTCCCTAGGAGGACCAGGGACTTGTGGGAGGACGGGGTCGGTGGTCCTCTTTCCCTTTCATTCCTTCCCTTCGCGCGTCCCGGCCCCGCCCCCCAACTCGGGGTAGCAGTCCCCCCTTCCCCCCAAGGCTTCCTTTTTTACCCCTCCCCCACCTTCTCCCCCGACGGTCAGCTTTCTCACGCTCTCACTCTTCCCCAACTCAACTCTTCCCCTCTTCCCCTACGTGTGCCCCAGGCGAGGCTTTCGGAGAGACCCCCGCCCACCCGGGGGGAAGGGTCTCGGCCCCGGGGGTCGCGGCTGAGCGCTTCCCACCGCCAGGCGGCTCTCCCGGGGGGGGCTAAGCTAGCCCGCCCCCGCCCGCCGGCTCGGCTCTCTCGGTGGGGGAGGGGGAGAGGGGTCAGCGCAGGGTCACTCACCCAGAAGAACAAGGAGTAGACGATGAGCGAGAACTTCAGGCACAGGTAGGAGAAGCGTTCGCAGTAGCGCACCTGCCCCGAGTCCCCTGTGGCCATCATTTTCCCGCCGCCGCAGGACCCCGACTCCGCCGCCCGGCCCGGCCCGGCCCGGCCCAGCCCGGCCCCACCTGCGGTTGCCGCTGCTGCCCCAGCCCTGTCAGCGCCCCGCCCCCTCCGCCAACCGGCGGCGGCGCGCGCCAATCAGCGCTCCCGGCCTTCGGAGGCCGCCAATGGGCGCGGGCGGGGGCGGGTCCGGGGCGGGGCCGCCCCGGAGGCGGGGCAGGGGCGGGAGCTGCAGGGGCTGGCCGGGTTGCTCCGGACGCACACTGCTGGCGCCTCATGTGTGCATGCTCGCAAGCTTCTGCAGGGGGCTGGCTGCTCTCTGATAATCGGGCTCTGGGGAGCCGGAGGGCCTAGGCCCCCGGGAGCGTCGCCTGCAGGAGTGGAGGGAGCCCACGAGGGGTACAGACCCGAGGGCACGCGCGGGGACGGGGGATGGAGAAGGGAGCGTGGGCCCCTCGAAGGCGGCCGAGACGGGGGCTCCCCGGACGGCCCAGCCGCCGCTCCCGCTGGCCGGAGCCCTCCCTCCAGGGAGCCCCTGCGCAGGGACCCCGGCCCCCAGAAGTCTGGTGCTCCCCGCGGGCTGTGCGCCGTGTCCCGTTGGACGGTGAGCCCCCAGAGGCAGGGGCGGACCTCGCCTTTCCTCGCGCCCCCTGCTCTCAGCGGTGCCGGTGACAAATGTGAACCTGGGGGGGGTGGGGTCACCCTTCTAGAGCTGGGGTGGAGAAAGAGAGAGGAGGGGGAGAAGCCGAGACCCCCGGGGCCCTCGGCCGGGCCAGCCCTTAGTTTTACATCGGGAGGTGGGAGGACGGGACTTGCCCAGAGCTGCAAAGCTGGCGAGCCTGGGGTGAGCGTGAACCCCGGCTTTCAGATGCCGGAGCCTGGTGCTCTGTCGGCTGTACTGATGCAAAACCGAAAACCCGAAATGACTACGGCCGTGAAAGCGGCACGATCCGCGAAAAGAAATAGAACTTTGAGAAATGGGAGGGGAAAGAATCCACAAAAGTACAGGAGAGGGGCTGAGAAAAAATCTCCTCCCCTACAGCTGAGAAGTAGGGGGCGCCGGGACGGAATAGTGTGTACATTCGCAAAGCGAGGTTTCTGTATCTTCTTTTTGCTTGATTATTACTCCGGAGCTAGCACACTTTGCATGGGCTGGAGGAGTTTCCAAGTGGCTCCGCATTGAGTTGTAGATTTCAGAGCCGGGAAAGGGATCTGCAGAGATCACCAGAGGCCAATCCCTTCATTTTACTAAGGGGGAAACTGAGGGCAGGAGAGAGACAACCGTGTGGCTTACTGACAGCAAGGTAAGCAAAAAAACCCAGGTTTAAACTCAGGGCTTCTGAGTTCAAGCATTGTGCTCTGTGCCTGGAAAGAACAGTAGAAAGAGGAGGGGAGTAAGGGTACCCAAAATCTGAAACAGAAGCAGAGGCTAGCAGGCCTGGGCCCCTCCCCAAAACGAAGCTTACCATGTGCCAGGCACTGTGCTAAGTGCTATGCAAATATTATCACATTTGATCCTCACACCAACCCTGGGAGGCAGATGCTGTTATTATCCCCATTTTACAGTTCAGGAAACTGAGGCAGGCAGCGGCAAAGTGACTGGCCTAGGGTCACACAGCTGCTAAGTGTCTGAGGCCCTGTTCTAAGTAGGGTCTTCCTGACTTCACTGTGACACCAGCTGCCTCTGTGAATAATCCCTATCAGTCTAGCCTCCTCTTCCCCTGAAACCTAGAGGTAATAATGCTTGTCCTGGCAGTGGGATAAGGTATGTGAAATTCCTTTGTAAATGAGTTATTTTTTTTATAGTTTATAAACACTGCATTAATCCTTAGCTCAGGAATCTGCATTTTAGTTTTTTTTCTCAATTACATGTAAACAAAAATTTTTGACATTTTTTTAAAATTTTGAGTTTTATGTTCTCTCACTCTCTCTCCTGCCTGAGAAGTCAAGCAGCTTGATATAGATTATACATGTTCAGTCTTGCAAAAAATTCACAGATTAGCCATGTTGCAAAAGAAAATGCAGACCAAAAAAAAAAAACCAACCTGGGAATAATAAAGTTTAAAAAGTATGTTTCAGTCTGCATTTAGACTCTTTCTCTGGAAGTGGACAGCAGCGCAGGAATCTAGGTGGCACAATGGCTAGACTGCTGGAATTGGGAAGACCTGAGCTGAAATCCTACCTCAGACATTTACCAGCTGTATGACCCTGGACAAGTCACTTAACCACTGTCTACCTCAGTTTCCTCATCTATAAAATGTAAATAATAGTAATAGCACCTACCTCAGAGGAGTTTTGTGAGGCTAAAAAGAGTTGTTATTAAGTGCTTTGTAAACCTTAAAGCACTGTATAAATGCTAGTTGTAATAATGCACAAGGCCCCCATGCCCTACGTTCCCCATCCCCTAGGTCTCAGAGTGACTTCAGATACTTTTAGATTAAAAGCTGGAGGCTCAGAAAAATCCTTGTATAGCTACCAAAGCCCCTTTCTCTACCCTTTTGGGGGTAGAAGACTTTCCCACTTAATTCAATAAAATTCAATAAGTGTTATTGAGAATCTATTATGTGCTCTGGGTACTGGGAATGCAGAGGCAAAGTGAAAAACAGGAACTTCCCTTTGACGAGGGGTCACCTCCATCCTTCCCAGTTCTCCGGCTGGATTTCCTTCTTGGAAAGGGGGAAGTACTTGGACCAGTCTCTCAGTGGCTGTGCCACTTTCCTTTTCCAAGGGAGTTTGCCCAAACCTCCTCATGCCAGCCAGCAACCTTCAGGGCTCTTCTGCAACCTACAATTTCCATTCCTTGGAGATTTGGGTGTTTGGTGAGCCTTAGGGCATCATCAGGAAATAATTGGTGATGAAAAGATGGGAATGAATGCGGATAATAACACCCATTTTTCAGATGCTTTAGGGTTTACAAAAAACATTTTCTTCTAACCACCCCTGTTAAGTAGCTATTATAAGTATTATTGTCCCCATTTGGGGGAATGGAGACCTATCGAGGTACCGTATATTCTAGCTAGTAAATATCAGAGGTGGGTTTTGAACTCAGGTCTCCTAATTCCAGGCTGATGGTTCTTTCTACTATATTATGCTGTCTCAATACCTTGCTGGGATTTTTGGAGGCCATTAAAAGTATGAGTTTGTGGTGGACCACTTCCCACTAGCTTCAAACTTAATTCCTATCTCCAGAGACTAGGGGTGTACTCTAATACACCAAGGCAGTGTCTTGGCAGGTGTTCAAATCCAGGCATCTCATGATGCCAAGTAAAAAGTTCTGGGTTTGGTGCCAGAAAATCTGGATTAAATCCTGGCAGTGCCATAGGCCCCCGTGGATATGTCAAGCACTTAACTGCTCTGTGCCTCAGTTTCCCCATCTGAGAAATGAAGATGAGTCTTGTACCCCTTCCCTCACAGAATTGTTAGGAAGGTGCTTTGTAAACCTGAAAAGGTTTATTACCAGGCTGATAGCCTTACCTGCAAGTCTTTTACTCTTTTGTAAGACTATAAACTCCTAGAGGTCTGGGAGAAAATCTGTGCCTCTTTCACTGAGTCTAGCACAGATACGCAGCTTATTTTTGTTTTTAGTGCAAGGACTGCTGGATGTGGAGCCAGAGGACCTGAGTCCAAATCCTAGCTGTGCCTTCCTTCCTCTAGGACTCAGTTGCCTCATCTGCAATATGAAAGCATCAGACTAAATCATCTCAGAAAACCCTTGCCACTTTAAATCCTATAATAAAACTGAATAACAAAGAAAATTGTAATTCTTCCCCAGGCACTGATCTGCAGTGGGAGAGAGAGTTCCTGGGACCATGGAAATCACAGGTCCATTTCAATAGAAATAAAAAATTCTTCCTCAAAACACACACAAACCACTCCCCCCAACTTTTTGGACTTCCAATCACCTCCAAGTTCCACCTAGATACCATGGTCTCATTCTTTTCCCCTTTTCCTGTTTCTTCCAGTTCTGAGGGCCCCCAAGGTCCTCACCTGTTCATCATGCCCCTTAAAATCCAGCTTTGGTTTTTTTTGTCTTGGGTTCTGCTTTCATCAGATCTTGAGAGCCAGAAAGAATTTTCCAGATCACCTTGGTCCAACAATTCACTCATTTGACTTGTGGGGAAAGTGAGGCCCAAGAAGGGAGGGGATTTGCCCAAGGTCACATATTGAATTAAGTGCACAGCCAGGAGAAACCCAGGTCTCCTGTACAGGAAAATTCAGATCTTCCCAGTGATTGTGAGGCCCACATCTGCAAACCAGATAGATGATCTCTAAGGTCTTTTTTAGCTCGGACATTCTTTGTCTTTCTCTTTTTAATTTTTTAAATTTTGATATATATGTTTTTAATTGATATATTTTATATATTTTATTTTGAATATCTTATTTTTACATCACTTCCATTTCCCAAAATGCCCCTCTCTCTTTTCTCATCCAGACAACCATTCCTTGTAAGAAAGAAGAAAAAGAAAAAAAGAGCAACTCAACAGTCCTAACCAACACATTACCAGAGGCAGACGTCTTCACTTGCATTCTGTATCCTTAGTCTCCCACTTCTACAAAGAAGGGAAGGGAGGTGCATTTTTATATCTTGGAGGGAAAGCTTGGTTATTTTAATTATACAGCATTCTGTTGTTGATGATGATGTTGTTTGGGGGGTGGGAAGAAGGTCTTTCCTTTTACATTGTTGTAAATGGAAATTTACAACAGATTTTATCTGTATGTATTGTTTCCCTGGTTCTCCAGCTGAGAACTTCTGTGTTCTGTGTTCTAAAATCTCTTCCAGCTCCAGCATTCTATATTCTAATGTCCTTTTCTGTACTATTATTCTGTTCTAAGATCTCTTCCAATTCCAATAGTCATTGTTCTAAAATTCTATGACCTAAAGTCCTTTCCTGTATTAATATTCCATATTTTAATGTCCTTTCCAGCTGCAACATTCCATAAAGTCTTTTCCACTATTGAACCTCCCAGGCCAAAACTATTCTCTTTCCTCGTGGACCTTTGCCTGGCTCTTTCTTCTGTTCCTATTCCAGTCAATCAGG